GCGACAACCGGGTGCATTGATTGCAAGGTCGTTGGGCTTGCGCTTGTGATATTGCGTGCGTGCATCTGTCGGAGAACTTCGAAATCGATTATTACTTATTAATGTAGCGAATGCTTGAAATTAAAGGGAGTGGGCAACTGTTGATACTATAGAGTCTAAAACTTTCTCTCCGAACAAAGTGAAACAGTTTGTAGAGTAAGTGTACGACGATTAGGAGCTTCTGGTGTGAAAGAGTACAATGTCGTATGTATAACAGGTATAGGTATTTTTCTCTTTTTTCTTTTTTTCAAGAAACGGGAAGATAATATTTTTATAACACTTTTTATTTATTATTCTATAATTTAGCATTAGTTTATTTAGCATTCTACAATTACACCCGTCTCTTCATTTACACGGGTCCACGTGAATTCGTTTTACGCGAATGAAAGTCGAGTAAATAGAGTCTGCCAGTACAAAAGAAAACAAAGTATTAATGCAACTAGTAGAAGTTATAGAAATACATATGTATTTCACATAGATTAACAAAAAGGAAAACAATAATAACAGTTCAGAAAACAAAAATAAATTTTATTCGGTCGTCAGTATCATAATTTAAAATAATCAAGCTTTTCTTCTTAATTGCCACAAACTTATTGTTCTCATCGCTTGAAATATTTAGAAATTTTATCTTCATTGTTACTGTCAATTTTTTTGGATGATTCGTTCTCGAACTTATCTTTTGCAAAGATTTTAATAAATTTGAGAATGTGTTTGACACATCGCTGAATAATCATAACCAGCTTGTAGAAAATGAATACTATGAGTTTTCATATCGATGTTATTGTTACATTTAAAAATTTTAGAAAAATATATTTTCTGGCCGCGTAAGTTCATGTCGTGTATAAAAAGTACCGCGTAAACAGTATTATAATTTTACTGCGTAAAAAGAGTGCCGTATAAATGGAGGGACGAGTGTAAATATATAAATAACAGAAACAACAGAACTATTATTAAATTATTACGTAACGGTCTTCCGAATGAAATTTGAATACACGAACGATGTTTTTAGAACCTGAAAAAATTACGTTTAGTTACGTTTAGTTACCAATTGTAAGTAAATTTTTAACTGCAAAATATAGATGAGGCATTAGTAAAAAAAAACCTACACTTCCAAAGGATGTCAAAGACAAATCGACTATTTTACCGGCGCTAATTTTTGCCGGACTGCTCGACATGGCAATGATTAAAATCAGATCTTGGACTGTCTTTGCTGGCAAACGGTACCAATCGATCATGCAACAGCATATTCCGACGTTAGTACTCTGTAAAATGAGTGACAAACAAAAGAAAATTTGTAAAAAAATCCACGTATAATACGACGTACAGACGACAGAAAACAAAATACCTTTTCGATCAGTAGATCACCAATGTAGCACAATAAGAACATATTGAACGTCAAGGATATTAGCAGCAACGAATACGTCGTCAGACTAATTTTATCATTCCGTTCCCAATCCTGTTAAAACATACGTATAAATAGGATAAAGTTAAACATGCAAAATAACAAACGTCGTTGAGGATATAAATCAAAAATAGCAGAAACTCACCACAATACAATAGTATTCGAGCAAGCATATTACGAACGTGGTCCCAAAAAATTCTAAAAAGCACACTTCTTGAAGAACCGTGTCAATCAGTGCAGAGAATCTACAATAGTACACGACATGTATTCAATCGGAAATAAGCAACACGATACGTCACCTTTTTATTTGTACTTTAAAGTTCTGATATGATGTTGAACGATCTCCACTAATCGAACGTTCAGACTAGAATTCTCGGAGAATTTCCCATCGATCAGATCGTCTAATCGAGACATAACGATATCAATCTGGCCGCAGGCGTGCGTTGCGAAAAGTGCAGCCAGCCCGCAAGCT